TTTCAGCAGATTCGATGCGAATCACCACTTACTATACAATACCGTAGTTAACAGTACTGTGAAGAATTCGTGTTGATTCGACTTGCAACAAGTGATGCTACGCAAAATCATTGACTAAGTCGCATCTCTAACCATAGCCAAAGAATATGAATCGTAACTACGAATTAATGATTATCTTTATGCCTCAGTGCATCGCTTCTTTGCTTTGTCTCGGGGAAGGGATATTTAAAGAGGCTACACATAAATCATGTTTTAGTGCCAACAGCAAACTGCACTTTTCCCTGCTAGATCGAACATTAATCTGTTCTTGGCTCCGTTTAAACAGTATTTAGGACAATTGCAGTTATCATGTTAATGTTCTCACTTCCTGTTAAAACTGAAATTTTGGATCATTGGAATCAAATGGCAAACTATACGTCTACGCCATAACCGCGATTGGTAGACTAAATTCTATTATGGAAACGAGATTTCGCAACAAATTTCACAGACGCATTTTAGTTTACTTTGTAATTCTAATTTAAAACTAACGATATCAAACATGTTCAAGCAGAGAGCCAGGATTACACATAAATACGCTTTCAGGTTTCTGATTCTCGGCCCGTAGTTATATAGATAGGTAGTTGAACGATTCATGGTTCAGAGTCCAAACACAGCAGACGGTAAAACCACTGTCAATGCTTTTTATTGCCAACGCGTTTCATTACAGAGACAGTAGCATCATCAGGGCTGAGATGAGCACAAATGGCTGCCTGAAGGCACTTATATCCAATAAACTAAAAAAATCAGTTTTCCAATTGGTTCATTCTTTACAGCAAAGCGTTTTTAAACTGCTTGACCAACAAACACATCGAAAAGTATGCAGACTGAAAGAGCATGATCATTAAGATAGCCTTATGGTTTCTCTGTACGTCACTGCCTTTTTCAACAATGAGAATACTAACACGCTTGGAAATAGTTACCCGACATCTTGAAGAACATGGAGGAGGAGTGGAGGATATCCCAAAACGTGTTGAGAAATTGCAGCATTCAAGAACTGATGGAAACCTTCGGAGTGGTGATGACTGACACCAATTTTGAATTTGCGAATAGTGTTTACCACCAGAAGTACGGCATTCCGATGGGCTCTCTAGTAATGGTTGCTCTAGCGGATCTTTACATGGATCACCTAGAGGTAAAAGCCCTTAATTAACGCCCGCCAGAATTCAGGCCACTGCTATGACCGGTTCGCTTATGATAGATTCCTATTATTCCAATGAAATAAGGACAAACAAAAGAGGCTGGAAGCTCAGTGGATTACATTAGCAGACGAGGCAGCAATGGCCGAATACGTTTTGCCACTGGAGCAGAGGTGCATCACTATATTCTGTCTGAATATGCTAGCAAAGAGGACGCCTTCACTTGAATCTGACATTTCTGTCTATCGGAAACCAATCCATTCCGATCGATACCTCTATCCGGTGTCCCATGTCCATCCTGGTTTACTTGAGAACGTTGTGAAGTATATGCGATTACAAACCCAAGAAACCTGTACCATCACTTCTGGCCCAGACGCGGAAATTCAACATCCGTAACCAAAGTTTCTGAAGAATGGTTAGGATGAAAGATACTTGACGAGTAGCTTCTTCACCCAAGCTCGAATTTAACGATGCGTCGTCCACAGACCAATGGTAATTTTACCGTTCACACCCCAGTTATCTTGACGTATCAGGAGACACCTTAATCGCAAGGGGCTTCGAGTCAAGACTGGCAGAAGACTGAACAATATTTTATTCAAGAATTACATGCCACTAACTCGGAAGAAATATTAAATTTTGCATGCAGAGTCCACTGTGGAAAGAGCGAAAAGGTGTACACTGGAACAACATACCAGACTCTGAAGATTCGGATCGAAGAGCACTTATTCGCGGTCCGCCTTAGACCAGCGGACAATTCGGATAATGCGCAGCGTGCAATCACTGAAGGGCACTCTTACAGTCAGACCAGTGTGTGTCATAGAAAAAGACCATTCTAAATTAGTTTGTATTGATAAAGAAATCCGTTCACATACTGGCAATAAAAAACCGGACGTGCAATGAATACATATTTTTCATGGTTATTAGTGAAAGCTGGGCAAAGTCGTGAATATGACATGCAAACTCGAGTCAACATATGAATCCGATTACATTTTCAATGTGAGCTTAACACTCAGTTTGTGGTTAACGTTCTGGTCAAGCAGTTTAACAACGCTGTTGTAAGATATAGACCAATTTGAAAACAATAGTATCGTTCGCATATTGGATATAAGAGCCTTCAAGCAGCCATGTGTTCATCCAGCCCTGATGATGCTACAGCCTACGTGATGAAACGAGTTGGCAATAAAGGTTTTGCTATCTACTTTGTCAAACGTTAATGGCTTAAAACGCACTCTTTAGAGAAATTATTGAAGGCAAATCGATCAGTAAACGCAGTTCTGGGTTCTAATACGAAATTCGCAAATGACTTTCACTCGGAAGCAACTTAACAGATCAATATCAGACACTTTCGTAACTTACTTCGACGGCCAAATTATACTTTTGCAAGCGAGTGACTGGAAAACAAAGCGGATAAATACGAATAGATGAGTTCTTGACTAATGCTCTGAGGCACTATGGCATAGTGACACAGTAACCAAGAGTCGACTTCAAATTCTGGAGGCGCCGGGTACGATTCTGGCGGATGAGCAATCCTTGTCTTAACCACGAATGCCATTGAATAAGCAATTTATCAAATTCTACTACAGACCCGGATTCAGAACCGAGAGGTCGGGATTCGAGGTCCTGTCGGAGGTGACTCGCGTTTCTTCCTTCTTGTGCTAATAAATGCTACCTAGTGAGAAGGAAACGGGAAATTACACACTATACTTGTCAGATAGTTGCTGTCGATGCTACATTTAAAATAATGCCTATCTGGTTGATGGCGTGGAAACTGAGATCAGTGCTCGCCAATAACTTCATGAAAAAAGGCACCAGAACTGATCCACTCATAAAGGTGTAAGGAAAACCAACATTGCAACGACTGCAACTATGCCTTCTTTTCTGAGGCCCCAACGACGGCGAAAACAAATTTTACAACCGACGCGTCTCATGGACGAATATCTTGAACAGCGCCAGGAACGAATGAAGTAATTGCATTTGTTAGTGGCCAGCAGCAGCGACGTTTCGCAAGTGCATCCGCGTGTCTACTGTGTCCTTGAAGACTCATGCTACGAATCATTTGCCTAACACTGAACCGAATCAAACAAGGATAACAAGTTTTAAGTCTTTTGTGAATGAAACATTTCGCAAATACAGTCGTTCCTTTTCGGCTGTGCAGAGTCCTTTAATATAGGAGCACTACATGTCTAATAATGACCTTAAGTCAGGAACAGCTACAAGTACCGGTAGAGCAGAAAGTTCAAATGAATAGCCAAATCGCAAGAATGGGTGAACAGTTGGCCAAAAGGCGTTCTATAAAAGCGCTGCAGGAGCCATAACTAACAAATACAACGCGGTAAAGCCGCTAAGACGAAAACAGGACTTAAACCAAAAAAAGTAACGGAAAGCGCATTGTTTGTCATCAAATCGGTTCTGGAGGAACCATCAACCTGCGTATGCCGGCCCGTGTTCACAACCACTCTGGCTGCTTAGCACTGATACTGGTCTCATTACCACCTAATGCCAGATACGTACTTCCTTGTCACCACCTCTAAACCTGTCGCATCATCTTACTGTTGCCACACCACTGCTTTACGACAAGCGCGAGTTACGCGTTACTTTCATCAACATCATATTCAGATACTCAGCTTCCCTTCGAACTTTACAGGTTGTTTTTTGTTTTGTACACCTTAGTGTATTTGGACCCAGCTTTAGGTCGGCAAAATACGAACTAGATCAATGAGAACTGTTTTACCACTATCTACTGGTGGAACAGGGTGGTTATGAAGAAACACCAAAACTACTGCATGCATAATAATTCATAATGAAAATACAA